TGAATATTACTATTTGAATTTTAGTACGGACTTATCTATTACTTCTTTAGTATTGAAGAGACTTGGATATATGTGCTTGTAGACTGTAAACATGCCAGTAGAGTCCCTTAAGCAAGGATGGATCTAGTCATGTAGTGCTCTGAATACAATCTGTTATCTTGTATATATTGAAATATTATATAGGAATTATTACGAAGTGGGACTCAACTTTTCAGTTTAACTGACCGAGATTTGATTCTACTATGTAATAATAAATTCTAAACATGCCCATACAGACCCTGAATCAAGGACGGAACTGGTCGCGTGATGCTCTCAAGCCAAAAATCTTTTATAATTAAGTATCTTTTTGTCGATATCTATCGTCTTCAAATCTTTAGATTAATTCTACTGTTTGAAGTTCTGTATAGATAAATGTATTTCGCTTGTGATTATTCTTCGGAATCAATCATTCAAAACAAATACAGCAGAGTCAAAGCCAACTGATGATTCACTCTTCGGGGTGATGAAATTCGGATCTTGGCATTCCGAGAGAGATATTGACTACTAGAGTCGACTAAGTCTTTAGTTTAAGTTAAATCTATTTGAAAATTTTATATGTGCAAATGTCTTCTACTAATTATTGTATCTATCATAATGTATTACGTATGTATCTATCCACTAATTTAGAATTACATTCCCATATAGATATAATATTCAGTGATCCACTTGACGAAGTCCCGCCAAGATAGAAACAGCGTTCTCGTGGAACGGCGATTCTTCTAAAACATACCCATTTTCTAGAGGCTCTCTTCTACATTATATTGGAAGTTTTCTTTAAAAACTTTTTGATATTAGTCTTATATGATTATTGTTAGATTGGAAGTTATCCTTATATGACTTTTAAGTATAGTAATTCATAGTAGGAGAAATTATATTTATAATAACATCTTACAATCAAAAAGCAATTGATGAGTTGAAGCTCATCGTACTTATCGAAACCGGTCTTGCTAGCTAAATTTGATTATTATTATTTTTATACAATCACACCCAATTGTTGGAGAATCTCTTCATTAATTTGTTGGGTACTTGCTACTATGCATTCTATCCGATAATAGACTTTTGTGAGTGGTATTAGCTTGGAAGTTTTTCTCATAAAACTTCTAACTATAACACTTGCAGCCAAGAGAATTATTTTCTATAACATCTTATAATCAAAAAGCAATTGATAAATTTAAGCTAATACCACGTATCGAAACCGGTCTCGCTAGCTTATTGATCGATTCTTTTCCAAGAATCGTTCTACTTCAACATGCCCATAGAGTCCCTTCAGCAAGGACGAAACTAGTCGTGTGATGCTCTCAATCTAAAAGACAATATCATAATAAAATCTTTTGTAGTATGGTCTTATCTATTACTACTTCAGTATTTTGGAGAGTTCTAGATATATCTACTATAGATTGTAAAGATACCTGACGATGACCCTTAAGCAAGGTTGAAACGCGTCGTGTCGATGCTTTCAATCTAAAACTTCTTAATAATAATGAAAAGCAATTGATGATTTATTACTCTAGGCAGTAATAAAAACGCATCTTGCTAGCTATTCAGTGATTCGACTCAGAATCTTTTCATAAACACACCCACCCACAATCTAACGAGGTGTTTTATGGGATCGGAACGCGTCGTAGTAGCTAAGACCTTAACTCTGTATTTCTTGAATTATGTGAATTTATTTGCATCAATTTATTTTTTACGAGCTATTTAGTTTTCGACATATGTTAGTCGATTGTTGAAAAAGAAAACTTGAGACTAACAGATTGAACTTGTCTTCTTCGTCAAGAGATTAGCCGGTCTGTTTTCAATCAATAATCGCCGTCGTTTCACAGTATTAGGTGAGTTGGAGACTCTAGTCTCGAGTCGTGTCTGTTTATGATTATTGGCTGAACAAACATCATTATTATCAGATACGTTGTCTAAAGAAATGATATCATGACACTTTCTGTTAGACGAGTGTACGCAGACATCTTACCTTTGTCTAGAGATGCAATTTGATCATTGGAAAACAGTCTGGTGCGTCGTCGTTTTTTCATATGAAGAGATGTATGACATACAGCTAATGATGCTGTTGATAAAGGTATGTTTGATGCTGTTACAAGTGCTTCATCCATGCAAGCTAATGTTTTATTGGTATCAGAAGTTGTAACTTTAACAGCATTCATTAGATTATCATACTCTAAACCTCCATAACTAAACTCATGTGGAAGATCTTCTTCATTCAAAACACCTTGCTGTAATAAAACTGTTCGCAATTGGTTATCAGATCTTGCTTTCTGACCGAATACTGCCTCATAAGGTGAATTATCGATTGACTGAGTCGAACGCGTATTAATCGAATAAATCACTTGTGCCAAACCTAAATTCAGTGACCTTTCACAAATACTTATTAATATATTGATCCGTTACCTTTCGACCAATCTTTGCGGCTGTTCTCGTGCATCCATTTACCTACTGCTGATTCAAGTGTTTGGTTGCCGCATTCGACCGATCCTTGCATTTGAGAATGATTAGATCGACCATTGATAATGAGTAGATCAGGCCATTTGCTTCTTAAATCCTATTTCAATTAAACCAATTTGTTAAATAGCATAACATAAACTATAAGACAGAATTAATACCCTTATTACTTTTGCCACGAACTCTTTTCCATTATTGCTTTGTAAAATTCGTGGTGTTCCAAACAAATAAAATTGTCGCAGAAGCTTTTCAGCAATATATGCAGTTTCTGTGGTCTTCAGAGGATACGCCCAGGAAAACTCCGTGAAATGATCCTTTGTATGAAGAATCCATTTATATTCGCCATCACAGATGCTCCTCATATCTATCAAATCCATCTGAAGACGAGTCAAATATCCGATGGACAACGTTGATTTTTCTTAAAAATAAAATATCTATGCTTTTTCTGATTCTTACATTAACCTTAACCTACTACTTGATGTCTTTGAAAATTGTTTCCGATTACAGCATACATCACAGTTTGCGATGAAGAGTTTTACACTCTGTATTGGAATCCATGCATATCGATCGTTCACCTGAAGCATACACTACGTGATTCGATTATAAATTATACACTACTTACCTCTAACCATGTCTTGTCTCGACCATGATGACCAACTCTTTCATGACATTCTCTGATTTTTGTATACAAGTTTTCGTATATGACAATAGGATGATTAGATTTAATCTCATAAACGACATTTTGATCACCAATTTTGACTAATTTAAAATTTTTATATACCCAAAATTTGAGCTGTGAATCTCCCCAACCATCTCGAAGAACCAAAATTATATCGTCATACAATGATTGTCTGATAGAAAATTTATATTGAAACTTGTGATTTAAACCTTGGATGTAATCGTCGAGTAATTTGTAAAAGTATTCTATGACAAAAAGAAAGTGACACGAGAATATTTAGTTAGTAATACACACAACATTTTTTCAAATACATTTTTTTATTTCATTCTGATCTTGTCTCCATTTTATTCGATACAGAAAATATTTTTATTTTTCCTATAGGAATGACTACAATATCAGGTTGACAGTACCTCTTAAGAAATATTTAGAATTCTCCTGTAGGAAAAAATGAAATTTGAACTCCTCCTAGGAGAAATAGAATTTTGAATTTATCTTAGGAAAATTTGAAATTTTCCTAAATTTGAATTTCTCCTGTGAGGCATATTTCAATTGCGTCACATTTAATTAGATGGTTTTTGTTCATATATATGTATGGAATAATAGATTCTATACATGCCTGATGCCTCCCGTAGGTCAAAACGAAACGTCTTGTAATGCCTTAAATCTCGTCATTCATTTTTGTATTCGATTTCTCATTGAGTTTTTCTTTTTTTGAGAACTTGAATCCGAAGGAGACTTAACTCTTATGATGAGTTACTGGAACAAGGACGAAACCGATCAAGATGTTCTTGACTCACCCGCTCCCACATCGCAATGCATCTTCATTTTGGAATACAAGTTGTTTTTGTATTATTTTATCGGACTGCTATAACCATAAGTAATGATACTCGTCTCTTTTCAATTCTTTGGTATTACAAAACTCGTATATTGACGCGCGTATGGCTAACATCTTGCGTGGTTTTTTTTTCTTTCCTATCAGTGAGGACATTTTAAATGAGTTAAACTTATCTTATATTTGCTCTAGCATATCTCACCTGGCACAGTATATAATTGGAGTGTTTTCGTGAGTATTTTCATTGTTTTGCAAATATAATATAATAAGAACTAATGTAAGAATTAGATACAATGTATAGATCATTTTTTAACGTGTATGTTTTTGTTTTCCAGTTACATTCAGTCATTCGTAGATTATATGGCTTATTCCAATCGACATGAAAATGTATCATCGGTAACACATGTTGCAAATACCACTCAAGCAGTATCCAATCAAGTATGGCGTTACTCAAACATAAACAATGTCAAAGTTGTTTATAGCTCAAATGATGCTCAAAGTTATTTACTAACTGTGGCCAAGGGGTGGGGAATCGATGAATCTTCTGATATCGGAAGAAAATTTCTTAACGATATACTGAAAGCGACTGAACAACATCGTCCCGCGCCGACGCATCCATCAATCTTTGAATATCCAATGGAAACGGAACACGAAACATACTATATGCTAATTTTGATACACGCGAAAGAGGATCGTATTGAAATTGGTTATTCATATCACTATATGACAAATCAAGCATCAGCAAAGTGTAGTGATCCAACGATATCACAACGATACTCAATTCAATGGCTTAGAGAAAAAGCTAGACAAAGTTTAAAACTTCCAGCGGCTATAGTTACTTCAATGATAAAAAACGACACATCGGCAGTTCAAGGCAGTATGCATCAGGGTCTTCAACAACAGCAGCCATCAGCCTCAATACCCGTGGCCTTGTTTGCAAATGCGCTCCATAATGACAGGAGATTGTTCCAAAAAGGCATTATGTTTTATGAGGGGGAGATGGGTAAGGGGAATGGCGTTCCTCAAAAAGGTGACATATTTGATGCCGTGTCATAGGACATCGGAAAGATTTCGACAAAACTAGTTGACATGGGTGTAGGGTCCGAATGAAAAAAAAGTAACTAAATTTATTACTGTTATTTTCGAACAGTCTTTATTACAATTGGAGATACATCTCAACCAACTTCACCTAACAATTCTACTGCGCATGTGAAGCAGGTGAATCTCACGGCTAAAATGCCGCGGCGTAAATGAGAAGCACCCAATTCCGAGACTAACGTAAATTTCTTGCAGATTTCGCATTTTTTCTTCATTCATGTTCCGCTAAATCAATATTGTAAAATGCTTCAACCATTCATAAATATGCGTCTAATGTATTGACTTCAACGCGTCATGCTTTCTCTAAAAGTATTTCACTCGATACATCAGAGGTATGACAATTCATAACAGATTTTTTCTCTTACATTTAAGATATTTATTTTTCCTCTTTGGCAATCACGATATGTCAAGTGGTGGAAAAATAACAATTAGACGTTCTGGTATCGAATCAGTCGAACGGCATCGTAAGGAAGCAGGCTCAGCTTGGAAACATACTCATGTAAACGGATCAAGAACTCTCTCAACTGTGAATGATGCTCACTCATATATTGACACATTATCACCTGCATGGGATTTGAATTCAAGCATGACTGGTAGAATTTTCATTGCTGACATAAAAGCTCAATGTCAAGTTGTGGGTTCTGGTGCAATTGATCATGTGCATGTTGAATTTAATGAAGGAACGCAAACAGGAACTGGCAAATATATTTTAGTCGCTATTCATGTAGATAGCTCCAAACGAATAACATTGAGCTATACCTATCATGAGGTAAGTGATAGGTTGAGACCTAACTGGGTGTATACAGAATACGCTACTGGTGCTGTAACAGATTGGTTAAAATCAAAAGCAGTAGAAAATCTTCGAGGAATGGTACCATCAAGTCATCGACCATCTATAACCTATGTCTAATTGAATGTCAATTTTCCAATTTATTTTTACGAGCCCACAATAAAACAATGAGCAAACATGTGAAGATGCATTGTTTTTCATTAAAAGTCTTACTTTCAATTGTGTTCAGAATATAGCTTTGCGAAATATAATAAGGGTTAATCGCGAATTGAAATTATTGTTGAAAACACACCAATAATCTCAAGGGAAAAAACAGCACACGATGACACTCTGGAGCTTCTAATGAGAGTGATATTATGACTGCATCTAAGATTTTCGAGAATCTGATACTACATATTATTCGGGGTTTTTTCCCAAAAACTTATTTGATCATTGTATCATATGCTTATTATCAGCTTGAAAGTTTACTTCTTCAACTTTTGACTGTAATATATCATAATAGGAGAGTTATATAATTCTATAACATCATTCAATCATAAGCAATTGATAAGTTTAATTCTAACACTAATCGAATCGTGTCTTGCTAGCTATTGATTGATATTACTTCAATCATTCTACTAAACACACCCACATCCACCCACCCTTTCTTCCCTATCAAAAATAAAATGATTTCAAATTTTGAACAGAACCATAAGTACTGATACAGTACTAAGAATTCCACCTAATGAGTCCCTCCAAGACAGAAACAACCGTTGTCGTGGATCGGCGATTATTCTAACCCACACCCACACCCTTTCTGCTATTGAAGACTTTTTATCATTGTGTTGTCCTTTTACGGTGACGATACTATTGGTTTTTTCGTTTCCCAATAAAATATGAAAGGCCTATTGATAACCATACCAAATATATGAATAAAGTTTAAGTCAACTTAAATACAGAGTTATACAGAGCAATTTTCAAGTGTCTCGCGGATCCTTTTTGCCGTCACTACACCATGTGGAAAAAAACATTCGAAATGATTCAAATCTTCATGATAACATGTTCATTATCAGTGTCAATATGGGTAGATCTCGGTTTGGATGTGTCAAGCAAATCGCGACATAGTGTCATCTTGCTTACGACTCTACTCCCATCGTTTTGACTTAATATCCATCCGCAATACGAGATGCATCTGGGTGTAGATCCTCTCTGTAACGAATTCATTGGTCATACACTCATCGTTACGAGAGGTCGCTCTCTGTATCATCATTTTCCTCTTGCTGTTGTACCTTTTCGCTTTCGCTTTCTCGTGCACATAGAAATATCACTGATCGAGTATTTTACCAGGCATTCTTGGCTCGATCTCCCTCACTTCTCTTCTTCTTACATGTTTGTGTTATGTTTCGTCCTTGAATATATAAAAGAATAAACCACACATAACCTCAACCTATAGTAGTCTCTTCATACATATTAGACTTGCCCAACCGCACACACAACAACAATCCCCATCAGCGCTATTGATTTGCTGTAAAGTTTGATTGGGTATGCTTCATTTGAAACTTTCACTAACAATAATTAGTTCGATGATGGACAATGAAATATTGCCGACTCAACATGAAATGGATCAACTTCAACAATATCAGCACCGACAACAAGCCTTGCTCCATGTTTTTCTGTCACAAAGCATATATGTTCGGCATGAAACTAAGAGTCATGCTGGAATAGATGCAAGCAAAAACTAGCCAAAATAGTAATTCTAGTGACGTCGATAACCGAAAGGTCGGCGATTCTCGACCATGAATATAACATGCTCTCGTTGAGGCACTTTTTTGTAAAACTTATCCTTGCATTTAGTCATGACTATGCTATAGAGTCTCTGTCAAAGTGTTTCAATTGCTTGTATAGATAGAAACTGTCTATTTTTTTCAAATGCCTCTACATCTTTGTGGAACATCATAGTCTGTTAGAAGGCTCTAGAAGAAATGAGAAGAGAGTTTTTTCTTATGTTTCAGATTCGTTGATTATGTTATCACCAATTTAAATATATCGTACGATATGAAGATGAGAATAAAAAAATCCAATTTAGCAGAAGCTGAACGGTATCTTCAAGCAGTTGGTTCAGATGGGAAACATACTCGTGTGAATGGATCAAGCACACTCTCAACTGTGGATGATGCTCACTCATATATTGATACATTGTCACCTTCATGGGGTTTGTCTTCAAAACTTACAGATAGAATTTTCATTGCTGATTTAAAAGCTCAATGTCAAGTTGTGGGTTGTGGTGAAAATAATCTTTGGCATAATGATTTTACTGAGGGGGCGCAAAGAGGAAGCGGAAAATATTTATTGGTTCACATTAGGGTGACTGGTTCTCGATCAATAAGGGTGAGTTATACCCAACATGAGATCAGTTTAACATTGGGAAATAGTCAGACGTATTCAACATACTCTTGCGGCGCTATGCGTGATTGGTTAACATTGAAAGGTTGGGAAAGCCTTCGTGAAATGGTTCCAGAACGTGAGCTTCATTTGATAATTTATGAATAACTTATTGTCAATTTTGCCGATTTATTTTTGTGTCCGACGACACTAAACTAGTCTGTTTGTGTGTGTAAATGGTTTTCTTGTTTGTAAGCCCTTTGTTCAAATTTTTTAAAAATACATTTTATACGAATATAATGAAAGTTTGTGGTCGATTCACGACTGAGCGTGTTCATCTGCATGTGAGATCGTGATCGAGTCATAGAGACGTTTGGGAATGTTAAGTGACTTTTGAGTGAGTATCGGAATCCATTTAATACGGTCGGTGTTTTTGTTTTCACTTTAACACATTGCATGCGACTTGATCCAATACATTGGCGATATGATCTACTGATGGGTAACGTCGCCGCCCGCGTGTTAAAACTTTCTGAACTCACCGTTAGATATCTCTTAGTTCACTCTCTACTCTCCGTAAAAATCAGGTTCGAACACCGATATATGGAACTTTAGCAATTTTTCTCGTCAAAATTTCCTAGTTTTTGAGGTTTAAAAAGAGGTACACTTCTTCTTATTTCTTCCCTCATCCCATTTCTATTCTTACCTGAATTCATATTTAACATATACCATTCGATAAAAAAAAAAGAACGCGCTACATGATGGAATACTTTTTATCGAAAACACAACTTGAGAAAGGTCTAAAATTCAAGAGATACTCATATTCTGTTACAGACCTTTTGTAAATCTCGTTTTTCTTCATCACAATAACATCAAAATTAACTTTCAAATATATCATTGGAAAGAGCGTTTAAAACTGCATAAGCAAGACTATATGATTAATTTCTAAAACCAATGTATTACATTGGAAGCGATCTTGATCCATAGATTGATCACAATGGGACCCACCGGTGAATCTCATCGCTGTGAATGTGTTAAATTCGAGAGTTTTGACTCATGTAATATTAGAACTCTAAAGATTCCTCAGGAGTCCCTTGCGAAAGGAGCAAATCGGTCGTGTCAATACTCTGGACTCTATAATCTGTATTTATAATTTTGGAATTATTACGTAAAACGTCTTCACTTCTCCAATTTACTGGAGAGATTTGAATTTAAATGTAATAATAGATTGTAAACATGCTTGTAGAGTCCCTTAAGCAATTATGAAACTAGTCTTGTGATGCTTTCACTCTTGAAATTCATTAATAATAAAATGATACTATTCTCGATTTCATTATTACGTAATAGTTCTTAACTTCTTCAACATATTGGAGAGTTTCGAATTTAAATGTAACAATAGATTGTGAACATGCCTGTTGGGTCCCTTGAGGAAAGACGAAACGCGTGTCGAATGATGCTTGCAATCGCAAAAAATTCTAATTAGATTATAGTTGTACGGTTTTATTTATTACTACTTCAGTGTTGAAGGGTTTTAGGTATATGTACTATAGATTGTAAAGATGCCCGTCGAGTTCCCTAAGCAAGGACGAAACTAGTCGTGTGGTGCTCTCAATCTAAAAAGTCTATATCTTTATAATGATTTAATATTGATGCTTTGAATTTCAATTCTTGAGTTACAAATTTAATTTAGACGTCATATTTTGATTCGAATTTTATCATTTGGATCATATATAGTTGATATCTCTGCCACTTGATAAGTATTTGAGGCAGTAACATCGAAATAACTTCAAGTTATCGTGGTAGCTTTATCACACCCTTTTTACTTAAGGGTTTTCTACTTGGTTTTGAACCTTGTAGAATTTAGATGTCATACTTTGATTCGAATTTCATATTTGGATCAGATATAGTTGATGTCTCTGCCACTTGATAAGATTTTGAGACAGTAACATCGAAATAACTTCAAGTTATCGTGGTAGCTTTACCACACCCACACCCTGGTGACGCTTGTAGAATCCCCGATGATCCCTCCAGCGACTCAGGCGATCCGTCTAGCATCCAAGGCGACGCGTCTAGTATCTCTGGCGATGATTCTAGTATCCAGAGGCAATGTCTCTAGTATCTCGGGCGGTGTATGCAGCGTTTCAGATGATGATTCCAGCATTCTAGGTGGTCCATATAGTGTTCCCGATGAGCTTACCAGCAGTTCAAGTAATCCCTCTGGCATCCCAGGCGATGCCCCTAGCATCTCAGATGATCCCTCCAGTATCATAGACGACCGGTCTAGCATCCCAGATGATTCCTTTAGCACTCCAGGTGATTCCACCAATACCATAGGCGATCTCTCCAGCATCCCAGGTGATTCCTCCAGCATTAACCCAACATAAACAGACGACAAAAACTTCATTTGCGCGGAAGTATCGCGCGCGGTAGCGTTGCTGCGCGGAACTGCCCTGCGTGGAAAAGTCGGCGCGGAGATGTCGTGCACAGAAACGTAGGCGAACCAATATTATTATACCGGATTTTGTTATTACGAAATAATTTCAAACTACTTCAAAACACTGGAGAGTTTGAAATTCTTATGCAATAATAGATTGTCAACATGCCTGATGACGATCAGATTCAATCCTTATAGAAACGCGTCGTGTGATGCTCTCAATTTCAAAATCTTCTATAATTGAATATGAATAATAATTGTTTGAAAGTTTTCTCATAAACTTCTAACTTTATTATTTCATAGTAGGAGACGTACTCTAATTCCATCA